GAACTGCTATTCAGTGCCGAAAGTATGAAAATTTTCATAAGATTCGGCTAGGATGCCACGTGATTGCCACTAGGAAATCATATAACATCCGAGTATTCGATTACATCAAATATATTCATTTAAAAAAAGGAAATATTTTATATTTTTAAGTTTATTCCTTCATTAAAAGTCCAAGATCCGATAGCTGGAATGTCACACCATCGCGACATACGAAACATAATTAATCACGTTTATGTAATTACCGAAATTATCATCACACCATTAACATTTTATCATCATTAATTAACAATCAGACGATAAGATTTTTGTTTTAATTAAAGTTCGACCCCATTAAGAAGTAATATTTTCGTGAATTTTTCATTAACGTTTGACATATTTTCGAAATATTCTCTTGCTTTTAAATGGAATGTAATTTATTGTAGAAATGTAAATTATTCCGTATACTTAACAACACATTCCGATTCATTTAAATAAATTTAAAATATTAAGTTTATCCCAAATGCAATTATTAATTTTAATGCAAGCGCCAACCTACGCGCATTCATTTATATGAATCCTGAAGTGACGACTAAAATAGAAAGTAGTGAAATTAGTATAGATTTTTTTATAGTAAATTTGCTTAAAATAAATTATTTCGAGGAAAGTTTAAAGCCTTAATGAGTTTCGAATCTATTGCGTCAGCGTAACGTCATTACGGTTTCTGAGTTTACGTGTTTTTTTCCCACTTATAGAAAATCGGTTTAAGAATTAAATAACGCTGATCTTTCCATACATCTCGACTCAGCAGAAAACGTTAGACACCATAACTCAATCGTTACATTGACCTTTATCCTATAGACAAGTCTATGACCTGAAAGGAAAGATCAGAATCATGTGTATAGATCTTGTAAAGTCAAGCATCACCTAATAACTAGGATAACGATTTTTGGCCTCATGAGCATCCCATTCTCATCTTTTACACTTACCAAATGCTTACTTGATGTATCATATTTCTTCCTCATCCAATCTATATTTGGAATATTTTTTGCGCCACGAGACTTCGATTGATATGAATTTATTACATTTCCTTTAAGATATCTATGATTGTAATTAATATATAGCCGGTTAATCAACCCTAATGTTTAAAAATATTCGAAATTTAAGATAGTATCTAGTACTAAATATCTTACGAAAGCGTAACTATATATATATATATACTTGTGAAAGATGTTAATTTAATAAAGCACCTCTTGGTAATGTTGACCCTACGCTTTGATAAATTGCCATCATTGTTAATTCAACAAGTAGATTTAAACCGTCTCCAACACCATTTAAGCCCGGGACGACAATAAAAAACCATTAAGTTGGACATCATGTAGTTTTCTAATGATAGTTGTAGAGATCTGTTAATGGATCTTGGCTGTGACAAATGGTTTTCGGTTGTCGGCATTCTGTCACCGATTTTGGTAAATAGCCAAATTTCTTACTAGCATGGTCCTTCGTTCTTTAAATTTTACCATCCAATTTATTTGGTTTATATCCTCTTAACAAAATCAACATGATTTCTTCGTTGCAACACGCAAATTTACACGATTAGGAATTCTTTTTTAGAATAGAAAATGCTGTCGGGGAAAATGTACTGCGTATCGATGTTTTGATAAAAATGTCGGCAGTAATGCAATTTTTTTCTTCTTATTTCAGAACATTTTCGGTGCTGAAAAGCTGAAAATATTTACAGTTATTGCTGTTTATTAAGGCAATTGGGTTATTGCTTCTATAGATCTTGCTGAAAGAACTAGCAATTTGTAAAGATTATACTGTATTGAGGTTGCTAAACTGTTAAACAATATTTTTTCTGTTATAACTTAAACAATTTTTCAAAGTAATGCCTTTTTTTATCGAAATTTTATTTTCAAATCATACGTTTGTTTTTGTCGAAATCTACTTCTTATAAACAACCGGTTGCAGTTTTCTCCACTATCTGTTTGTGATTTCTATAAAAGCATTAAAAAAATAAATGTTTAAGGATATATAATCTTTGTTTTTTAAGTAGAATCGAGTAAACAATTGCCTTATTTGTGTTTTTTGCGAGTTAAAGCGTTACACGACAAACAACACTTGTCACCCGAGCCTGCAAAATGAAGAAAAATCGCCATCAAAGAATTCTAAACAACCTTGACATCGTCACCGCTAACACAATCACTCGTCTAATCTGTTCCTAATTTCCGGAGGATCGAGGAACATTTAAGCAACCAATCACCCCGTAGAATTAACGTTTCCTATATTATTTTGCAATTAAGTTTTACGATGTAAGCGCACACCCCTTCGTGAAAATATACGTAAAAGTTCGTTAACACTACCAACGATAAATCACTCGTAAAAAAGCGAAAACATTGTGGATTTAAAGAAGAAATTGCAAAAATACTACGGATTTAAAAAGAGGAAACAGAAAATATTGAGGATTTAATAAGAAGAAAAATCTGTGAAAATCTGTCACGCAATTAGTGTATATTATGCAAATTATACGAAGAAGCGTGATTATTCGGTCACGTGTCTATGAATTAAACATGAATATAAGTGTGGAGATAGCAATCCCATTATACTTATTTATTTAAATCGTTCCACATGGATGATGTGAGGTCGTCTATCTCTGTATTGTTGCTATTTTTAACAAAGTGTCGACATTCTATTTCTAACAGAAATTATTTTCTTTATTTTAAACGTGTTTACGGAAAGAAAAATATTTTTCTTTTCGCTTGATTGTACGAAAATGAAAATAGCTAATGTAAATTTTCCAACCTTTTTTTTAAAATTATTATTATTATTATTATTTAAATTTTATCATGTGNTTTTCGGTAATTTATTGTTAAAATATTGAATTTAAACGATTTTTAAGTTATATCCGCATGGATACATTAATACTTTATATTTATTTTCTACGTAAATAATTTGTAAAGACTTAACAAAAACACATAACCGTGTACGATAAAATAATAACAACAATAATAATATGTAATCAAAAAGCATTTACAGAATGAATGAAGCAAAGTTTTCTGAATTTTATGGAAATTCGAATATGCTCCGAGGCAGCTTTCAACACTTATAAAGGTTTTAAAAGCATTCCAATGTAGAAATGTTATACAGTGTAAGCCTTATAACTTACAATCGAAACTTCCATTGGTTTTTCTAGATCATAATGATGACAAAGAATCATTTTCGAAGCCAAAACAATCGATTACAAGTAACATCAATAAATTATCAGCGACCAGCACAAAGCCCAACTTGTTGAAAAATGTTCTTATCGATTGTATTGAATACTCTGGAAACAAGGATTTAAAAGAAAAATTACGTTTTGGTAAGTCTAGCATTGATGTATCATGCGAAAATACAGTCTAAATATTAATATTAGACAAGAATGTTCGATTAAAATCACAAATATTGTTCTTTAAAAATTGAATATTTTTGTTAGAAGTGAAGTATGAAACGTATGGAAAGAATATTAAGTAGACTTATGTAAAATAGCGTGGATATATGAATGGATTTTGCGTGAGCAATTTTTTAATATAGTTAACATATGGATCGAAATTTCTTTAGAAATAATATTGTAAAAAAATTCGGTCATAAGGATTTTTTCGTTAAATTACGCTAAACTTTACAATATTCTTCGTGACGTTTATCAGTTATAAAACAATTATATCAAGGAAAGTTTCCTTCGTATGAAAATTTAAAATATGGAAATTTTTTCATATAATCTTTTATGTGAATCAACGTTTCGCTATTCAGTCCACAATTGATATAGAAATTTGCCAGTATCAATATTTGCTAAGCAGAATTCAAAAAACATTGATCTAAAGAAAAGTATATCTTTCCCTACTTGAATGTTCTAGTGTTTCCTATACTTTTATATAGAATATAAAATAAATCTTCTATTGTTATATTTTATTTTTAATTTAAAATAGTAAAAATATGCAAACAAATACAAATTGTTCTCGTGCCATGTATTCATTATCGATGATATTTTTAGAACAGAAACAAAACACTATAATGTAATACCAAATAAGAAAAAAGGATCTTTAAATAATTCTAAAAACAACTAAAACACGTTGATATCTACTAAAACTTTTATTGATTTTTTTATTAAATTATTCTTATCATTGGATTACGAAGTCTTTTCTAAATCATTCTTACTGGCGTACGAAATGGGACTAAGAAAAAGAAAATTTTAATAAAAATATTAAAATTGGATTTGGATTTACTTTTTTAAATCAATTTTTATTTAAACGTAATAATCTTATTTTTATGATATTTGTTTTGTTCTAAAAATATTCGTGTTGACAAAATATACAAACATACACATGAATACTGTAATTTAAGTACAGGATAATTGATCCTTACCAGGGCCAGCTTAGACGCCGGTTTTTCGGGCATCGGACCCGAAAAACCCGTGAAAGTGCGAGGCACCGCTCTCGGGATGACCCACACTTTCAAATTTCAAAGAAAATTTGAGAAAGCCAATAATATATTTTTTTTCTGTGATTCTTTGTTGTGTACACGAACATTCGCAGAAAAACAAAGTGCCTCATAGTCGAGGGTGTAAGACTACACTTTTCAATCGTTTTTACCATTATAATTTGTGGGAATTTTTTACTCGATTCCATGGAGTGCCATGTGTCCCGTTTGCCCCTTCTGCGTATGTCCATGGTAGAGTATTTAATGTCTATAAATTATGTTTAATAAAAGTATACAATTTTTCGATAAAATTCTGTTTTACACATATTTTTGGGGCCTACTAATAACATTTTTTCGAGGCCCCGCAAAACCTTCAGCTGGATCAGGCCCCTTCCAAACTTAATTCCTTACTAAGCTATTCATCATTCTCCTTCAGCATTTTTGGAATTTTGAAAGTTTCCATTAATTTAAATACGGATTCATAATAACCATCAATTCAAATACATATGTATTGAAATCATAATAACGTTTATTATTTAAATCATTACTATATTTATAGGAAATAATGTCACCTTTAATAAAGCTTTCAAGGCACTTTCTGAACAATTTCTTTCACTTATTAAACTTCTAATGCTAACGACTTTCTGTGATGAAACCTAATGATACTTTTGACTCCTCTTCTCGTTAATTATTTTAAACGATTAAATTTATTAATTAAATGCCACAAACATATGACGCTAATGTTTCAAAATGGCGTCGATTCACTCTCGAGTAATTTAAGGGAGAAGTCTGTAATTGGTTCGATTGATGTCACATGATAATTAATCAGCGTCATGTGACTGATTGATAATCGTCTGCTGAGATTTCGGATCGATATCATTAGTTAATTAAGTATCACGTGACAATGACGTGCCGTCTTACGCGCTGCCTATAACAATTTAAAAAAAAAAAAACTTTAAAATATTTTAATAAAAATTTATTAAATAGAAATAGATTTTAAATTAATATTAATATTACTAAATTAATTATAATAATTAGTTTAAAATTAAAATTTGTTTTTCATTTCGCAAATATAATTCGTATAATAATTTAAAATATTTTAATGGTTAATTAAAATTCGATTCTAAATTAAAATAAATATTACTAAATAATTTTTATTAATTAGTTCTGTGTAGGCCTATATATGCGTATATTATTTCATTTTGTAAAGTCGATTGAAATTTTACGTGATTGTAGCGATAAGAAACACGTGCTAAATTACTAAATAGTGTAAAACGTAATACGACTCGTTCTTGATGCTAAATATACAAACTAATTATGAAAAATTTCTCTTGAGGTTAAACTAAAAAAAGTTTTCTAGTTAATATAAACACTTGCAAAAAATAAAAATAAAAAGAAATACAAAAATTTGTTTAAAGGCGATTTCGTACTAAAATTTCACAATAACATTTTCACTTTTTTAATTAAAAATTCTCTATTCAACTTTTACTTACAAATAGAAATGTCGTAAAAAGTTTAAGATAAAAATTAAAGTATTTTTAAAAATATATTAATTTTCATTAATTAAGAATATATTCTTAATGTTAAGTATAATTATAAATTAAATTTTAACTTATTCAATTTAATGTCACTCGATTTAGTGCCAAATTCGAAGGCGAAATGTTTGACTGTATGTTGTAGAGTTCAGTTTAGTGCCACACTCGATTAATTGACAATTTTATGGGCGAGAAAATGGTGGCGGTAAACCGGGGTTTGATTATATATACATTCTGGAATTATAAAATCAAAAAAATGATAAAGAACATAATGAGAATAGAATTAACTAAATTTTTAATATTTTTTTCTATCAAAAATACATTTAAAATAAATATATCTTCACGTTATAGCTTAAATGTAACAAAAATACTGTATAATTATCAAAATTTTTTAGTTTAATTATTAATCTAAAAAGTTAAAAATTTAAATTACGAAATTATTCTTATTGTTTCCTAAATTAATTCACAAAGCCTTCAATTTTTTAAAGTTATATTTTTCCTTCTATTATTTTTTAAAATATAAATACTTTAATTCAAAATTAAATTATTTCCTTACATTTTTAATAATAAAAGTAATATAAGTTTTTAATTTTATAACTTCAGAAAATATAAAAGTAGAAACCCGGTTTACTCCGCCATTTGGTAGTTTGTAAAATTAGCATTTAATGAGGGTGGCGCTAAACCGAAGCGAAGCACATTTTACACGATAAGAACAAAATAGCATATTTAGCAATTTAACAAACGTCGAAGACTTCTCTATTTAGTTCTTATGGGAAAGATCTGTTCTCAAGTATTCATTGACGCTTTACTAGAATGTTAGAACGATGCTATAACGAAGTTTCACTGTATATTCAAACATTAATTATCGATACTACGTAATACTGGTATATAGTAAATTATAATAAAATACGGGAAATTATTTATTGTATCATCTATCATCCTCACAATATCGGGCTGAAATTTTTAATCATCTGTTAGTTTTAAAAAAATCGCGTGAGTTCCGGTCTGGATCGGAACTCTATATCTGGTCTCGATTTTCATCTGTATAACTCCATTCTGAAAATTAAGGAAGGACAGACAGTGGGAATGTATAGGTCTGCAATTTGAAAATTGTAGCCCGATAAATATTTATATAAATAACAAATAATAATTAAAATAATGTTGTATGTATTTAAAAATTAAGTCTAAATTGTTTATTTCATTTGAATTTAATTTATTTTCAATCATGAACCGTTGCAACTGAAAATACCAGTAGAGCGTCGATTTTCCGAATCAATTGGGGACTGGGGTTGTCCGGATAACCGATATTTCGGATAACTGATTTACGTACGAAAAAATAGTTTAACGTATCCAATGTCGAAATTTTTATCCGTTGCTTGTCGCTTCGCGTTGAATTTTCGTCGATGTTAAGCCTAACAAAGACTATTGTATCGTTAAAAATTATTTTCTTATTTTGTACAAACANACTACAAGTTGTTTACATTTACTTATAAAAATATTAAAAGAAATGCCTTATATTTATAAAAATCGTGAGATCTTAAACGTATTTCATTATCGTACAGATCTATCAATATTTAGAGCTTCTCTTAACTATATTAAAGCTTGAAAGGTCATTAACTGATACCATTTATCAATCGTCGAGTGTGAATAGAGCTTCATTAATCACGTGACTTGCGGGACGGGAGTGTTACGCAACTCGCGTGACTTCCAAAACTCGTACGAGCTAAATATAGACCAATGGCCCTCCGAGGGAAAGTTTCGCTTTAAAATTCGAACAGATTATGCCTCTTATCATCGTAAACAAAAGATAAAATTAAAATATTTAGAGGATGACCGGTAAAGAGGAATGAAAATTTTTAAATCATCTTATAAATTTTACCGCGAAGAGAATCTTACGACCTTGAACTGGTGCCGTCTTTAGAACAGGCCAATTCAATAAGTTACGACGAGCGCTTTCGCTATTGTTTCTTACGTCATCAATAAACACCCCACTTCAATCGAGTCGTGGACGTTAATAATCACTTTCATTGTTTTTTTTTTATTTGATCGATTATTAAATGGTACCTATCAAGCGACGATGCGTGAATCCTCTTCCATATGATCGGTACCAATTGACGATCACACAGAAACTAAAATAGAAGAAAGAAAAAAAATATATAAATATATTCTACTCGTTACTAAATATAGAAGCTCAGACGATCTGTGACGTATTCGACCTCACAAATGAATGCAATAAGTAGCAGTTTACGACAGCCTATTCATATTAATTTCTAATTTCAAAATCCATAAATAGAGTTATGGTACGGTAGGTGACAGTAATACAGACGAATGTAGAAAGAAAAGAAAGACACAGAAAGAAAAAAAAAAGAACAAAAGTAAAACTTACAAGGGGCATTGCCCCCTTAAACCACATCAGCCATTCACCCCTTCTGTTTAATTCTACCAACGAAGCGTACAAAAGAAAATTTCCTTTAGTTAACTTCCACAAACAGTCTCGGACGTTTCACTACATCACCGACACAACGTCTGAATGAAGTGTGACGTCCAATACGTAACGTCCCCTTTTGGCACGTGATTCGAATCCACCAATGACAGGCGTGTAGTGTATAGCCTACACGGGATCTCGTCCGGCATTTCTATCAGTCTGCACTCGACACACCACGAAACGGGACGATGTGCCACCGACTTAAGTGAAGTTTTGAATGTGAAGTTATGAAGCATAGAAAAATTATGAATATTTTTTATAACTCACCGAAAGTGGAACATTCAGATTATACGAATTTGAAAAGTGTTACGGGGATCTAGTTGTCACCCAGGTAATTTTTTAAAAATATTTTTCTATAAGCTGACCTAGAAATGTTTTATCCTTTTTATATAACGTGTTTAGTAGATTTATGATAAATTTTTTTATTATTATTTTATATATAAATCGGGTACAAAGGCCTTAAACGTAAAAGATATATCGACGATAGAAAGGAAAAATTCTGCTGGTGATGAACTTTTTCGGTAGATAAAGCCAATTTCTTTCCCCTTATAAAACGGATTTATATAATTTAAAGCTTTTTAAATAGTTAATTTACTGTTTGGATCTTAATCTTAAGCTTAATCTTTGGTTCAAGGTTGACCTTTCGGTGTTTATAAACAGTTATATTCGCTAAATTTAGAAAAAAGTAAGGATTAAAAATAGATCATTATCTTATTCTAGAACATTTTTAGATTAAATTACTTTATAAAAGTCTATTTTATTTTATTCTTTTTAAATCTACGAGATAAGGAAGAATAATCAGTGCATCTCGATACGGGTCAAGTAGATTTTGGTTTGATATGTTGTAATTTTTCAAGTACGTCTCTTAAACTTGCAGAAAAATAATAATAAAAAAAATGAATTCTTGAACTTAATTGTTTATAAAGAAAGTAAACGTAATTGTTTTGTATACGTCTAAGTTTTTAGTGAGGGGAATTTTTATAGGAAAAACAAATTTTGTAACTCGTAAAATAATATTTATTCTTCCAAAGTGCAATGATCTTTGACTTTATATAATTAAATATATTTTATAAAGCGTTTTTCTTTACCGTAAACAACGTTNCAAAAATATTTATAAATTCTTAAAATGTCACTTAGTACTTAAAAAAAAAAAAAAAAATATGTGGCATTATTCCGAATTCAGGCGCACATTTTCCCGTATTTAACGTTGCAGTTCTTCCAGTAGCAAATTTGAGGCTCTAGGCGCAATTTTGTTACGAGGGCCTCTATGTGAAAGTGTTTTTTTTTAATTAAAAAGACAATAAAATTCTTAAATAATTATCTTTTTGTAATTTTAATAATTATTTTATAGATTTTAATAATTATTTAAAGATAATTTTAATAATTATCTTTATGTAATTTTTGAGACCCCTCGAGACGACGAGGGGGCCCTAGTCGCGCGCTACTGGATTCTTCTTAAATTGAGATTCTTAAATTGATTTTTCCTCCCTTTATATTGATTTCGTTCTTAAATCGAGATTCTTCGTAAATCGAGGTTCTTAAATCGGGATTCTTATGTATTTTAAGTTCTTTAAGTTTAATTGTAATTATATAATATAATTTAGAATAATTTTTTTAACGTGAATAAATACAATTCTATGAATTTAATAAGAAATTCGACATAATTCTCTAAATAATAGGATAAACATTTGCTTGTTTTATTGAAGAGTTTTATTAAAATCAACTATTAAAATAATAAATTTTGCAAATTCA